ACATCATCATACTAGTACTAGAATTTTAGTCACGAAACCTATATAACATTACAGCATCATACTAGTACTAGAATTTTAGTCACGAAACCTACATAACATTACAGCATCATACTAGTACTAGAATTTTATTCACGAAACCTATATAACATTACACATCATACTAGTACTAGAATTTTATTCACAAGACCTATATAACATTACAGCATCATACTAGTACTAGAATTTTAGTCACGAAACCTATATAACATTACAGCATCATACTAGTACTAGAATTTTAGTCACGAAACCTATATAACATTACAGCATCATACTAGTACTAGAATTTTATTCACGAAACCTACATAACATTGCAAAATCATACTAGTACTAGAGTTTCAGTCTCGAAACCTATATAACATTACAGCATCATACTAGTACTAGAATTTTATTCACAAATTCTATATAACATTACAGCATCATACTAGTACTAGTATTTTAGTCACGAAACCTATATAACATTACAGCATCATACTAGTACTAGAATCTTTCTTTCGTTCCCGAATGACACTTTTTTATAGTTTTGGAAAACATTACTGAACACAAAGAGTGAAAAAAGTAAAAGGAGCTTGAGTACTCATTCGAATAAGTATGATCACAAGAATTGATAACCAAACGTTCTTAATGATCCACACAGAGACAAACACAACTGACCTTCGACTTAAAGACCGCTTGCCTGAACGGTTACTACTGATGACCCTCGAGGTAACGGCCAATTGACTAAACAGTTTCTAGGGGTTTTAAAATAGCTGAAATCACAGTGCTACGACAAGATAACATGTCAAGTGAGAGAAACAAAAAATATGTAATTCAAACAAATAAACAAGATCTCTGTTATTCATGTTTTTCGCCCAAAGACTTGATTTCGTGCACCGAGCTTGCAAGTAAAGTATTTAGTGGAACAGCAATCCTACCTTAAAAGCAAATTGAATATATTATCAAACGGTTTAAGTTTCTGCATTTCTATTTCTCACAGAGAAACTGTATCTTGTAATAACATTA